CCCATTCCTCATTTCCTCCAAAGAGCCCAACGACTTGAACAGCTCTCAGCTTTAGAGGCCAGCTGTGGATATTATCATGGACATAAAGATGTGCACCAAGATCCCAGACTCTCCAAAGCAGACACTGCAAATGGAGGCTCCCAGAAGATGCTGATTGCAGGGGAAGTGTTAGACACAGAGAATGTCATCACATAAACCGAAAGAAAACAGAAAACTCAAAGATGTGCCTCTCTTTGTTTTAAAAGAAAATCAGTCATAGATGCCTTACAGAAACAGGTATTATGAACAAAATCGTAACTATGCAATTAAGTAGCCTGTTAAAATTATTTTTTCCTCTTGCCTTAATTTTCCATCTGATTAAAATTTCCCACCGAAGGTCCTCAGACTTATAGGGCTTTGATTAGGGCAATGCATTGCAATTCTGGCAGGTAGCAGAGTTGCAAAAATCTTTTATTTTTATTCTGCAGCCCTCTTCTTCATACATTTATGATCTTGCAGTATTTTTTCTCCTCTGGTCACAGAACATATGTAAACAACTGGAATTATTTTTGGACTACAGCAGCATAACACACTTTATTCCTGTTTCTATCAAGAGATCATATTCTTGCAGATTATAACTTTTTTCAGTTATTAGGTTTGGGCAAACATTTGTCTGTCAAAAGGATATATTTATTAGGTATTTTATTTTATGCTTTTGATAAACTGTCAAGATCCCTAAATATGGTCAAATAAAACTAATAAAAATATTACAATGTTTTCTAAATTAGATGACATTCCTACTGTTAACACACTTTGCTGACTTTTCCAAAATATTCATCCAGTGATAATATACTCAGCACTATGTACATTGCAAACCTATCTCCAAAATCTCAAAGGCAAGTTTACCAAAGCACTTACAAACACAGAAGACACACTAAATTGCTTTTCTGAATCTTAAAATGCTGAAATATGCCCTTAGTGATTTGTCAGCTCCAAGCCTACGTCACTGCAAGAGTATCACATCTACAGCATTTACTTCTTCTTTTTTTCCTGTGAAACTTAGTAGAACTGATTCTCGATCAAAGCTCTGAAACACTTATTCACTGATATTTTAAATTGCAGCCAGTAATTCATAACATGCTTGTTTTCTCTGAATGTTCATTTTTAATGTTCCCGTCACTACTTTTTAATGCCCAATTCACACTCATCCTATGTTAGACTTACTAGAATCAAGTCTAAAAATGCCTTTACATGTGTTCATGCTTGATTGATTTCAACTTTCACCCATATATCCTCTGCCATCTACGTCTTTCAAACATGTTTTTATTACTGAATCAGCAAATGCACATTTTAGGACCAAAAAATCTAAAGCAGATCTGAGTTAAATGAAATTTCCAAATGTGTTTGCCTCCCTCCAAACAGCTCCCCTGTAAAATTCTGCAACTTGGAGATATCATTGCCTTTTGAGTGACTTTTATAAAAAAAGCATTGTGAAGTAATAAAAGAAAAAAAAACAAAACAAACCACCTTGGCAAATATCTGTGCATTTTGCTACTTACCACTGCAGTCGGTAAATCTGATTGCTTTGACAGCTTTTTAACCAAAGTTGCTGACTCCAAGACTCCTCTGTCCTTCCTGTCCCAAATTCTGCCACAGAGCCTAACATTACCGAATGTCAAAACCTGACTCAAAGCCCATCTACTTAGTCACAGTTTTTGCCTTAAAGAATATAATAACTGTGAGACATTCTACATCATTAATACGTTAATGGATATTCACATTAACTGTGTTTTTCATACACTGAAAAAGCATGAAAAAAAGATAAGCTAGAAATACTCTGAATTAATCCTATCAATATTTGCCTCCTTATTTGTTACAGATACACAATGTGTGAATGGAATGTCTAAAATGTCCTTTGCATTTTTGCACTTTGCATTCCCTCTTTTTCAGTCAAATATGTTGATTCCAGTTGGCAACCTACTTCTTTATCTCTTTGCACCATTTTGCCACCACAGTCATGTGGTCAAAAAGGTAAAAAAAAAAGGCCTACCATTGTTCCTTCAGACACCCAGTGTTGCCTGTGGTGCTCTCTCTAAACTTGTCAGTAAAAATTATCGAGGAATGTGTATCAGATGAGAAAGAGAGCACACAACTGCAGATAAAACTCTAATCCTTTGGAGGTACTTCTCCTCACAGCATCTACAGAAGCATCTTCGTGCTTAGCATGCATTTGTGACTGGCTTTAACATCCTCACATTATGGTGCTCTCAATTTTTATAACTTTATTTTTTAGCCATATGATTAATTTCCTTAAAAGCTACAGTTCTGAAAGCTTTCACTCTTTCTGTGAACATTCCTCATTAGAGAGAAGCGCAGACTTTGAAACATCTTTTACTGTGTCACACAGAAGCTAATGAAGACACTGTTAATAATAGCTAGGGATGCCTAGCATAAACTACAAAACCAGCATATTTTAAACCGCTGCAGACTGTCAACAACCATGTAACAGTCCTCAGCAATCTATCCCTCTTCAGCACAGTAGTTGCTCAGCATGCTGAACTGTAAGGTGTGCACTGCAGCCCCAGCAGTACACAGGGTCAGGAAAGAGCTGAGTGCTTTCTTGAACGGGGATAGCCTGAAGCACAGGAATGTTTTACAGCAGTACGGCCTGATATCTCATTCTTTTGATCTAGATCACCACAATCTACAATTAAATTTGCGTACTTCTCTGACCTAGCTCTCATCACGGACCAGCAAACAGAAAGCAGTTCAGAGGAAGTCTTAGCATCAACAGGGTGAGACTGAAAGTCCACTTGAAACTTCCTGAGCACTTCAGACAGCACACCAGCTACAGGATGTTAGTTGCTGCCTGAAAGAGCTCCTGCCCAGTGTATTTCCTTGCTGAGCAACAGAAATGTGTCTAGTTTTAAAAGAGTCAGCTGGCAGCTGGCTACTTTTCCTTTCTAGCCTGGGAACGTAAAGCAGACCCTCATTCCTGCTCATTTGTGTGCGCAGGGGAAAAGTTATGGAGGGGTTCAGTTTTGCATGCTGCAGAAAATCTAGTGGAGACACTTGGGATCTTTATAAAGATTCAGATATTTGGCTATTTTTGAATGAGTATCTGAATTCATACATTCTGAGTTGCCTCCTTCTTTCCCCAACCTGTCATCTGTGCACATAACAAGCTATAAAAGGCTCATATGACATACTTTGCCTTTTTTATCCTGTTCACAGCACCTTTGGTTATAATTACATGTCTTGAGCACACCTAGTAGGAAATGTTCCTCAGCAGTCCAACCAAACAGAACAATCCAAAGAGCATCTTGCACCCAGACAGAAGCCCCCAGTAAATTTTGTGAAAAAATGACTTTTTTTCCCTGGAAACCTAAAGAAAAGTTCCTGATTTGCTACTTAGGTATACGATTTGTCAGGAGGAACTTCCCACTAAGAATTTCAGTTCCTGTTCTATATATTATACATTGGCCAAGTGTGATTAAAAGCTTTCAGCTGCAGTTTCCATGTACAAAAGATGTTTCATTTACTGAAGTACCGAGATTCTATTTTTTCCATAAAGCAAAAGTTCCTAACATTTCCAGTGGACCAAACATAAATAAGATACTCCCTTGAAGGAGCACTGGTAACCACAAAAGTCATAACAGCAATTTGCCTTATCATTCGCTTGCTGCAGCCATTTACTTGTGCATTCCAAGGTACTTGTTCATAGCTATTCAAAGGGCAGGACCAAATCTATGCATCTCAGTGAGTTCTTACGGAAATTATCAGTCTCCTTGGTTTTAATAATTTTATCTCTCATTTTTACCATAAAAAATTTCAGTCAAGAATCTGCTTGCTTGTCACCATGCTATAAGCTTCTGGCAGCACGTACTTAGTTTAATGACAGACTTGGTTCTATTCCAACGGATTATTTAAAAGAAAAATGTCCTGATGAAAAAATCAGCTGTGTTTAAATAGCTACATAGTCCAAGCAGACAATTTGAGGGCTTTGGCTGTTTTTTCCTCTTACAGACCCTTATCGGGCCAATATACACATACACACGGACGGTATTCAATGGAGAGCTTAGCAATGTGTTTGTGCTTAAGTTTCATGATCTGCTGAACACATTACAGTAGGTGCATTATTTTGTTGCTCTATGCTCCCACAGCCAGGCTTATTCAAGAGACCAAGGAGCTTAGCTTAACACTAGACACCTAAGGTGTGCCTTGATTATGTATTTTAAACATGAGCACTTAGAACAAGGATATGTATATACTTTAATACTTGTCAACAATTTACTGCAAAAGCGGTAAGGTGGCTGATAAACTGCCAATTATCCTTCTTCCATGTGCTACATATTTTTGGAGATCCTAACAGTGCTGGAGAAAGGACATCAAATGATGCTTAGAAATGTGATACACATTTTCATTTCACACTCCATCAGTTTTTACAACTAGAGCTCCATGAAATGTATGAGATACTTGGCTAACAGCCATATCTACTGAGGTGTAAAATAAGGATCAGATCTCTTTTTAAAAGAGTTTCATTTTCTTTACACGACTAAATCAGATGTTGACCTTTTTCCAAAATATATTGTAAATATTCCATACTTATAGCCATCAATTAATTTCGAATCTCTGAATTGTGTTTTGACCTGTTTTAACAGATATGTAATCAATACACATTTTTTTAAAAAAAGTTAGGTAAAGAAAAGTAAGCTGATTCATCCTTCCTCAACTGAAATGAAGGTACTGATGTTAAATCTTTTCAATTCTAGTAAGTTCTTTCCCCATCTTGCACCTTGAAAGAAGAAACAAGTGTATTATTGCCTTTATAGTCAGCAAAGCTATGGGCATCAGCAAAAACATATTTTGAATTCAAATTTCAATCTGTCAGAAGAGATTAAAGCTTTATGCATATATAAATGGTAACCATTAAATGATAACAGATACATAGCATGGAATCATTTTGCTTGAACAGCTGTTGATTTACCAGGGTAGTAAAGCAGAAAATGTCTTTTACTCACCTCTGTTAAACCAGAAACTTCTCCTTTCGCTAACGGTCTGGTGATGGATGCAGTGTGAACTCTGGCGTCTGACACTGGTTGCCCCTTCATAAAATGTTTTCCAGCTTCATAAATATTCACTTCTACCATCTTACCCATTAAAAGAGGATCCTTTGGCACAAGGACCTTTCAAAGAAAGAGACATAATTACTAAATACCACAAGAAAAATCAATCTCCAGTTTCCACTCAGAAAACAGATGATAAACATCAGAGAAAACCCTAAAACTTTAAAATATTAGTCATCAGCATACACTACAGACCCTGACACATTTGACCAATGAGATCTCCAGCTTGCATTCTTCAAGAGCTTTGCAGTGTTAGCTCAGCATTTTTCAACTCCAACTGTGAGTCCTGTTTTTTGATTGATGAGGAAGTCGGGCCTGAATTGCAGCTTTTGAATCCAGACCCAAACAGTTCCCAAGGGTACTCGTAGTACACAATTCTAATAGCCTGCTGTAAAGCTTCCTGTTTTCATGTCCACCCCATAACACTGTTTTAAAAAATGTTTTTGAGTCTGTAAATGCTTCTGGACAGAAATGATGCCCTTGTTTCTCGTTGTGCAAGCCTTTATTTTGACTGTGCAGATCCTTTGCAGCTGAAATGCATGACTGACAGCGAATGTCTGTAAAAATGGATGGGTCAGCAACTAATGCCATCCTTTCCTGAATTTGCACAATCATGATATCAGAAAGTCCCATTTCACAAAAAAGACAACACATAAGAGCTGTTCCTAGCTCACGCATCTTACAAAAGACAGATCCCAACATACACGAGCAACTTTTTTTGTTGGGAGGAATAAATGGAGTAAAAAAGGCTTTAAAAAAGGATCTAAAATAGACAAGCAGTTAAAAAAGAGAAGTGGAGTAATTTCTTGGCGAAATGACATATTTTACAGTGTTTACAGTGAAAAATTGAATCATGGAAACTTATTTAATCACATTTACTTGAACCTCATCACACACAGAATCTCGGAATGAGTCAGATTGGAAGGGACCACAGTAGGTCATCGGGTCCAACTTCCCTGCTCAAGCAGGGCCATCCTAGAGCACACTGCACAGGACTTTTCTGGAATATCTCCAGTGAGGGAGACTCCACAACCTCTCAGGGCAATCTGTTCCAGTGCACAGTCACCCTCACAGCAAAGAAGTTCTTCCTCACGTTCAGGTGGAACTTCCTGTGCATCAGTTTCTACCCTTGCCTCTTGTCCTATTGTTTGGTACCACTGAGAAGAGCCTGGTTCTGCCCTCTTGGCACCCTCCCCTCAGATACTTAGATACACTGATGAGGTGTCCTCTCAGTTGTCTCTTCTCGAGGCTGAAAAGGCCCAACTCCCCCAGCCTTTCCTCATAAGAGAGATGTTCCAGTCCCTAAATCACCTTTATCACTGTCCACTGTACCCGCTCCAGGAACTCCCTGTCTTGTTTGTACTGTGGAGCACTCCAGATGTGGCCTCTCTAGCACTGAGGAAAGTTTTTCAAAGATCACATTCATATATCTGGATTCCTTGATGCTGAAACTGAAATTCCTTTAAAAGGCTTGATTTTTAGACTACATGTGCAGAGGATTTTCAGAGAAAAAGTCTGTGCCAGCCACATTTGGAGAGCATTTTGTTGCCAAACAATGCCTCTCCATTTTCACCTATCACAACTTGATTGTTCCACTTGGAGGAAATCACCACCAGTAGTTTCCCTTTTTTCCCTAAAGGCTCAAGGTGTTCACACCTGTGTTTCCAGATCCTAGGATTCTGCTGAGCTTCCTAAGCATCTTACAAGAAAAGCAGACATTTCTGCCTTTCAGAGATGAGCAAGCTGAGACTAAGCCAAAACAAAGCCAGGGTCCTAATGCTGGGACAGTGTTACAATACAACTAGACCAGAGTTCTTCCCATGTAATTCATCAGGGGAAATTTAAATCAAAGGAAAATTAGGAAGCTAAGTGTATCACTGGGCTTGTGACTGCTGCAAATCTTGGTGTCTCCATATGCAAAAGGGCAGTAACTAAATATAAATGCAACTTCAGAAAAAGGAAGAGGTTAAGTGAAAATATCTGGGAGGTTCTGTAAACAACCAAGCAGCCAGGCTTGACATACACTCAGACATTTTTTTGATACCATTATTTGTTAGGGAAAAAATCCTCAACCACATTTCTAAGAAACAAAAGCTACACCAACAGAAACCGTCATCTTGATAGTTGATCTGGCAAAGTACCCTTTAGTCAGTTCAGACTACTCTGTTCAATGAAAACTATATTACCAAAGCCTCCACAAATGTAAGCTGCAGCCCTACCAGGAAATCTGTCAGTTTAGCTCTATCGATGTGGCTTTAATAGCAAATTCTTTTAATATAGATGACCTTAGTGAAGAGAGATCAGGTTTGGTAACTATTTGAGTTAACAGAATGTTACATCGGGACTCTGAGCTTCACCTTCTAAGAATATATAGCATGATACTTAGTGACTCTAGAGTGGTTTTCAATTTACTATCATTCAATTTACTGCTATTAATCTTAGTCACTAGCACCAATTCTTGTGCTTACCTGGGTGAGCAGTAGGATATTATTCTTGTGAAACACACCCCACATAGGACTTTAGGGAAAAGTAATTTATTAATGAAAAGTATTTCTTGCATAATTGAATTCAAAATTACTCCCTATGTATGTTACTATGTGTATTTTGTGTATTCTTTACCAATCCCAGTTGGGAGCTGTATTAGGTGCTGTACAAACACAACACAAAACATCAACACATTTTTTTTTCCCATACATATTGCTCTTCATTTAGTTAATTAGGTTTTCGTAAAACAAGCATTGAACACTAAAAAGCCCCAAGCAATTTCTTTTTAATCTCTGTATGGAAGTCAGTGCTCCTCAAATCTGACTGATATGCTACAAAAGCAAGGAACCACTAGTGACACATAGGACTTAGACAAGAAGTTAAATATGTAAAAAACAAAGAGATTTATCAAAAAAAAGAGAAAGTGAGGAAAAAATAAGTAGTGAATCAGATATCTAATAGAAACAGATATTCTATGAATAGCAATGTTACTTAATAGTAAGCAGAAATAAATAAATGCTGTAACATAACCCAAAACCAGAAGAAACCACTAATGGTGACTGTGTAAGCACAACCATCATCTATAGCCTCTCCAGGTTCAGACACTGAATACCTAAAGGCAGCAAAAGCAAACTGTAGATAGCTCAGTGCAAGGAAACAGACAAGAACCCAAAGGCAAAATGAAAATAAAATCATGATGATTCTGAAAAGCAAACTTTATTGGGTCTTAGCAAGTCATCTGCTTCTGAGCAAAAGTAGTAATTTTGTGAAATAAACGTACTTTCTTCCTAGCTCAAAGATAATCTTTTTGTGTGGAAAGAATTCCCTTACAGAAACCACACAGAAGGGAACAACAAAAAATAGAAGGAGGGCCTAAACAAGCTTGAGTAGTGGACCCATGAGAAGCTAATGAGGTTCAACAAGCTCAAGTGCAAGGTGCTGCACCAGGATTGGCAATCCCAGACAGGAGTAGAGACCGGGAGAAGAACTTATTGAGCGCAGCCCTGCCGAGAAGGACTTGAGGGTTGTGGGGGATGAGAGGCTTGAATGGATAAGTGGATGAGGAATGTGCAAAATGTGTAGTTGCAGCCCAGAAAGCCAATTGTATCCTGGGCTGCATCAAAAGGAGGGTGATCTAGAAAAGCACCACGCTTTGTCAAGGTCAAGGTTGGTAATTCTGCCCCTCTACTCTGCTGAGACCTCTCTGGAGTCTGGAGTCGTCAGCGTATGACAGATGTGGACACAGAGCAGTTCCAGAGGAGGGCCACAAAGGGGGAACAATTTTAAACTAAAAGAGATTTAGATTAGATGTTAGGAAGAAAATCTATACTCAGGAGGGCAGTGAGGCACTGGAACAGGTTGCCCAGAGAAGTTATGGACACCTCATCCCTGGAAGAGTTCCAGGCCAAGTTGGATGGGACTCTGAGCATCCTGGTCTAGAGGGTGGCATCCCTGCCCATGGCAAAAGGGTTCTAACTAGATGATCTTCAAGGTCCCTTCCAACCCAAACCATTTTATGATTCTATGAGATACATCATACCATGACAAAGTGGTAATCTAAGGAATTTTCTGACCCTTCTACTGCTAGAATTTTTTATTTTTTTTTCAAATTGCATTGCCTGAAATGCCTTTCAGAAAGATGTATGGAAGCTATCATGACTCAACTATTCAGAAAACAATGCTTTGGGGACCCAGTAATTAACATTACTGCAATAATTAACAGGTTCTTAAACCATGCTGTATACTCAAACAGCCACTGTACATTTCTTAATGTAATTTCAGGTTAATTATATTTACAACACAGAAGCAAAATATCTCATAAACAAGTCTTGTTGATCACATGTTTCCTGGAAAATTCTTATTTCTTTCTTTGTTTTCCTTTTTTTTTTGTACCATAACACACTGTGCTGCTGAGATTATCAGAAAGCAAAGATAAAACAAAAAGATGTTATTTGGTTTATTTAGCTGTACCTGCTCATAGAAAGGATTGTGAGCAACGTAGTAATTGGAGTCAAACGATTCTTCTGTTACCAGAACTCTCTGCCTCTCACCAACCTGGAAAATAGAACATGAGAGAGAGGACTCAGAAAGGAAAAACAAGGAATTATGCTGAGAAGAGAACTGCAACTACAAACAAATGCTCTTAGAAGAAATAATCAAATTCTCTGAGGAAATTCTGTGTCGGCAAGAAAGTGGAACAGGAAAAGCTCTACTTTAGACTATCTAAAACTGACAGGGTTACAAGTCAGAATTAAGGGCTAGAACTGTTGGGCTATAATGGCTTAACATGAAAATCATGTTCAGAAATATACACCAATTTTTACTTATTATTAGCATGATAACAAATAAACATGTCAGATGTGCACAGAGTCCATTGCATCTTCATCCAACTAATGACAAAATTGTGCAACCAATCACCCAAAAGGTATATTTTCTTTAAAAGCCACACTTGTTGTTTACAATGCTAGGGCATGTCTTTATCCCTTTTTGGTGATCTCACTAAGCTGTGCTTGCAAGATCACGCTGATTTCCACGACACTGCATATTACAAAGACTCAAGAAGAAGAGTTTTTAGCAACTCATAGACACAGTAATATTAAAGGCAAAATGGTGTAAAAAAGCCCTTCGTTTCAGTTAAAATTCCCAATTTCCAAATGCTCCAACACAGTTTAAGGGAAGCACCAGTTTTACAATTAGTTAAACGAAAGACGCCGAGACAAATCAGTGGCATATAGAGGCCAAGTAGATATGAAACAAAATCTGAATTTCCCCAAAGTTCAAAATCTCCCACACAGCACCTTTTGATTTTGTCCATTACTGAGTTGTGCAATGAAAATGTATAGCTTAATTTCTGCAAACCTTGAAGACATTTAGCTCACATTTTTAGTCCGAGCCTGTATCTATTTTTTTCCATCTAAATGTGTCCTGGATTATTTCCAAACTATTTGACAAATGCATTCTGCAAATTACAACTGTCTAGCAAGTTAAATTTACTCACTGCTTTTATTACTATTTCGAGACTCAAAAAGGTTTCACATTTTACTCCGAAGTTTTAATATCTATGAGCAAAGTACATTTAAGACCCTGCCCCCTCCCTGAAAGACTTCCACCACATCCTAGTGGCAGCTCAGTCATAAGGTCGATGTGAACTAGCAAAAGCTTGCAGATCAGATAATAATGTTTTGATTCTTTAATGTACAAGCAGTAAAAGTAAAAGATAAGATTAGAAGTTTCTCTAACAGTCAGTGGCAGAAAATAGAACGTTAAGAAGTAAAACCAGCAATATCACACCTACATTATTGTATATATACATATATTGTATATATACATATATATATATACACACACACGATATCTATATAATTCTGCACTCACTGAACAGAAAGACTTCATAGAATAACTCTTGCCTTCTGTTCCTTGTGCACATATCTAAATATTCCCAAAGTAAATGCTGGAGAGCAAGGGAGACAGCAAGCACCCAGCTCATTTCCCCAAAGGCAGCTAAGAGTTCATTCTCAGGACTACAAGTGTGGGGCACACCAGAAGGGGCAAAATCCCTGACTTCCAGACCCAGTAACAGAATCCTAATTGTAGAAAGGATGTATATATTTGTGTATTTTTAAGATGTGTTTAAGAATTGTTTATAGCACATTTAGAATTTCCATTCATGTTTCTCTGGGAAGTCTGAATTACACATAACAACAGACAAAACATACTCAAATTTTAGTAAAAATTCAGTGTAGCCAACAGTGAGGTGGGTTTTTAAAATTATTTTCAAGGAAACAGTTGTTCAGTTCAAATCCCCAAAGGAGTTTTGCAACACATGTCAATAAGACACTTAGGATAACTACTCCAATAATAAGATTTCCCCTAAACCGAGAGGTTGTGTTACTTCTATAATGTTTGAAACCATAGCTTTTAAAAATCACAACTCAATATCTGCTGTAGCACTTAAGTGCCAAAGTCTCAGATGTCATGTGATACTATGAAAAAGAGAAGGACAAAATAAGCAACATTCACCCTCGGGCAAACATGCTACCACTGAAAAGCACCAAAGCCAATCACCGAGTCATGTCCTCACATTGTATTCATTATTTACTGATACCAAAACTTAGCAAAACTGGCTCAAAGCAATACTGGGCCTGTAACTCATTTCACAATTGTCTTGTGGTTCCCTGGATCCCTCTGGTCATAACATTCTGCCATTATTGTCGCTATAAATCCTGCCTGTGAGGCAGACTGAGCTACACGTGTTATCTTCATACTCGCAGATGAAAGAATGGCAACCATATTATTAAAAAAAAAAAAAAAAATTAAAAAAAAATCAGAGGGAAGAAGAAAAGAACACCTGTGTTAGATCATTTGAGATAAACGGTGGTTTCTTCAGAGACACGTTGCCAATTTTTCTCACCTTGGCTTCCATAAGCCAAAGAGCTCAGGTCTCCATGTCCCAGTGGGCTAGAAAGAGCTTCTGGGCTCAGAATTTCTCGGGAATGGGAGGAAATCAGGAAGACTAAATTTGTAACATAGCATCAGAACCGTGGCGTTTAAATTGAGCACCAGAAGTGCAGAGGAGCCAAAAAGCCCAGACCAATTTAGAACACACACATACAGACAGACAGACAGGCACACAAGACTAAGATGGCACACTGCATGGAACACAGGTAAAACCAGTAATTGTTCACTTGATGAAGTTACTGGATTTGTAGCCTTGGCCAAGACTGAACTCACAGAAAGATACAACATTCAGCCGTTTGCAGATTCCTCTGCCGTAACAACAGAAAAGGAAAATTCCATTTAATGAGTTAGGCCATTGAGTATTCATGATCTACAAGACTAATTGGCTACATGCATTTGTAAGACAGAAAATGACTATCTATCCTGCATCCAAGTATAATTAAGAAGAAATGTAAGTACGCAGAATGCAGCTTTGGTATTGAAATTTGTTCAAGAAGTGGAATATGTCATCATTTCTGCAATTATTCCCCTGGGATCTCTAAGTGCCTAAGTTTCACCCCTCTCAGAATTTAAATATGCAGAAACCAGACATGATATCTAATAACAGTCATAATTATAATAACCTTTGATGATTTTTTTTTTCAGGCATGTACCAGCAGAAGTAGTTCAGTATCTTATTTTTATTCCTATTCTTTCATCTGCTTCCACAGGTACACACGAGTTCCAGCTCTCAGGGAACTACAATTCTGCCAAAGCATCTGGAACTTAGGAAACTCAGCCCTGGCATCTCAATTTGGAAAGGTTTCCTCTAGAAACATTACTTTTTTTTTTTCTTTATGGATGGCAGTATGAAAATTCTTATGAATGACAGCAAAAAAACTTGTCTGGCAACCTCCCCCATCCCAAGTTGGACTGGTCACATAACTTACACAAAGAGAATTTGTTTTCACCAAAAGCAGCACAACATCCCTGCTGGTCATATCACTTCCTACACTGAAACAGTTACCAGGAAGTTTGTAAATCTCAGAGTTAGCAATCAAATCACTTGGAAACTTTTATTTCTTTTTCATTTATCCTACAGGAAATTCTGACATGATAACTCTTTAACTCAGTTTTTCCTTAACCAAAAACCACAAAAAGCAGTTTTTCCAGCTGGCTAATTTTATAAAATAATTGAACAGTAAGAAATTCCCAAAATCCTTCTTGGCTGCAGTCAAATTAAGTTTCTTTTTTAACCAAAACTGACTGAATCACCTAAAACACAAGAGTGATTTTCAAACTCTGCAATAGTTCAGTTGCAAAGGACTGTCCTTTTTTTACATGCTATGACAGAATATTGCTACAGTGGCCTGCTGTGATTACATTTAAGATCATTCATACCCCTAATTTTTTGTTTTACTTAATGAAAACTAGGATTGCACCAGTTTTGATTTATTACTTATTACAGCCAGAGCATGTAGCACATGATCTTTCTCATTGTTTTCTTCTCATTCTTCTAACTGAATTTTGTTAGTTTTGTTTGTAAGAGCCTCTGTTTGGCTAAAAAATTATAAATTTTAATAACCACCATATTTCTATAGTTCTCCCACAGAAGACAGCACACTGCACATGCAGCATCTCCACTGATTTAGAGACAGTTCCCCAAAGCCTCCTTCAGGTTGAATTCAATTCGTAGTGGAATTGATGAGCATCTCTCAATTCATGTTGAAGGAGGCTGGCTTGGATTCTGACCCAAATCATTATGGAACATAGTACAAGGCTTGGAAGCCACATAAAAAGTTTCTTTCCTGTATTTGTTATTTAAATCCATCATAAAGCAGGCAATAAAGAATACACACTGTCACAATTCACATGCGTATGTTTTAGCAGATTATTCTGATGTAGAGAGTATTTCTAGTAAACATGCATACTTTGACCTTTACTATGTATAGCAGAGTTTAAGCAAAAGTAATTTAGAAAGTGTTCATTCTACATCAGTTTTGGTGTACTTTTCTCCTGATTTTTCAGTTGCAGTCTAATTATTTAAAATATATTTTAATTTTTATGCAGATGATGTGTTCTTCCCCATAAAGCAGGCAAGAACTGCAGGACCTACTTTTTATTAATCAAGTGAGTCCTTCTGTAAATAGAAGTCACATTTCTTGAAAATTATAATTAAGCACTCTCTAAGTCTTTTATTTATACATTGTAGGTACTTTCTCCTCCCGACAGAGAAGTCTCCCTGAAGAGATTTCCACAACCTCCCTGGAAAAAGATGAAGTTTGTAGAAACTTACAAAATGGTCCTGTTTTGATGACACCAGAACACATCTCTTTTCAAACTCTCCTTTGTACTGCTTTGCTCAGCTATGCAGCACTGCTCCTCCAAATTTAGGGTGTGTACATACATCCCTTTCTGAAGGGAGTACAGGAGAATGGACTTGTCTCGGAGCTTTTCTACAAAGTTGTTAGGGTTTTCAATGTGGAGACTGGAAAACAGTAACATTAAAATAGTTCAGCTCTCGAGCATGACAATTTTTATGCCAGGATAAAAATACTTTTCAGCACACAGCATAGACAGCTGCTACTCCACTAGGGCTTATGTTATGACTGCTGTCC